TCACCCCCGGGTTTATTTCCAGGTGCAATTAAGAAGGTCACCAGAAGATAAACAGTTTACCCATCTCTAATTGGTTAAAAAATATTTGTGTTTTGTCGATCTATGTAACACAGATAAGACACAACACCAAAAAGAGCAAGAAACGTACATTCTTGTTCAAATTCTTGACACAAATATGTAAATTTCCATCCCCAATATTGTCATCCTGATATTTACTTGTTAATAATTTAGAACTTCCCACATAACAACCATGCTGTTATCCAAAGCTGAAATCGTTTTTATTTATTTATTTATTTATTTGAGAGACAGGGTCTCACTCTGTTGCCCATCATGCAATGGCACAATCACAGGTCACTGCAGCCTCCAACTCTGGGGTCAAGTGATCCTTCTACCTTAGCCTCCCAAAGTGCTGGATTATAGGCATGAGCCACTGCGTATGGCCCAGGAATCTTTTCTTAACCATATGCTTGATGTTATAAACTTTACCATTTAAGCAGAGTCTCATGTTTTAAAAATTATTTAAGTGTAGTTAGTCTGTGGCTTCAAGAATCTAAACATCTCGGCCGGGCGCAGTGGCTCATGCCTGTAATCCTAGCACTTTGGGAGGCCAAGGTGGGCAGATCACCTGAGGTCAGGAGTTCAAGACCAGCCTGGCCAACATGACGAAACCCCATCTCTACTAAAAATACAAAAAGTAGTCAGGCATAGTGGTGGGTGCCTGTAATCCCAACTACTTGGGAGGCTGAGGCAGGAGAATTGCTGGAACCTAGTTGGCGGAGGTTGCAGTGAGCCAAGATCATGCCATTTGCGTTCCAGCATGGGCAACAGAGCATGATTCCTTCTCAAAGGAAAAAAAAATCTAAACATCTCAAATAACACCCAAGCATAAAAATTAGCCCCTTGCTTTTCCAGTCTGTATATGCCTTGCACAACAGCCCAGTGTGTCGGCAGATTTGCCAGATTGAGGGTGAAATGTGTCATGTGCAGGTGTCCCTCGATGTGTCGATGTCTAGAAAAAAAAAAAAGTCTTTATTCCTTCGTTTTCTGAACAATGGTTGGTGGCCAGTAAGTTCCTCATTCTAACAGATGATGACAAAGGGGAGGAGGTTGTTCTCTTAAAGAATTCTCCTTCCCTCCCACCATCCACAATGCTGGACAGCTGCGAGCAGAAAGCGCTCATGAGAACACAGAGTATCCGCGCTTCCTGGGCAGGAAGCCTGCTCTGCGGTGGCTGTGGCCACGTAGTCCTGCCATCTTCCTTGGCTAGGGCATCGGCCAGGTCTTTGCTCAGAAGCTGTGGAAGCAGCTGTTGGAGGCAGCACGGCTTCCTCCTCTGTGCTCCTTCCTCGTGTATCTGTTGCTGTTGGGCGTCTCTCTTCCCCCCCTGCATTTGTTTCCAAGTGCATCATGATCACCAGAAGACAGATAGTTTACCCATCTCTGATTGGTTCAGAAATATTTGTATTTTGTTGGTCTGTGTGACACAGATAAGACACAACACCAAAAAGAGCAAGAAATGTCCATTCTTTTTCAAATTCTTGACACAAATACATAAATTTCCATCCCCAATATTGTCATTTACTTGTTAATAATTTAGAACTTTTCCCCCGTAACAACCATGCTGTTATCCAAAGCAGAAATCTTTTATTTTATTTTTATTTATTTATTTTAGAGGCAGGGACTCACTCTGTTATCCAGGCTGGAGTGCAGTGGTGCAGTTATAGCTCACTGTGGCCGCCACCTCTGGGCACTTAGCACGGGACAGGAGGTTGTGCTCTCAAGCTTGTCCTGAGCTCCCAGCGCCTCTGTGCCATTGGACATCTGGTTCTGTAGAGTGACCAGGTCAGCCTGCTGTGCCATCTTGCTGAAGAGCTTTGCAGATTCCTATGATCTGGAATCCAGGGCCTCTACCCGCTAGCTTGGCACTCCCCTCCTGACACATGCTTTCGGCTCTGCAGAGGGGAAGCTGGTCAGGTGTTGCTGTAGGAGTCTTCTCTGCCTCATGGACACTTTCCATCAGGCCACAAGGCTGGCCCTGGAGGGTCCTTGGAGATGCCGGTGCTTCTCATGCCATCTGTGCTCGCCTGGCCACTTGGACCAGAGTTCTAGCTCAGGAAGAGCAAGCCTCCTAAATCAGAAGGGCATTAACTGTGGTCAGTGGCTCCCTTCTGTCAGTTCTCCTAATACAAGAGTCTAAGATACGTGCTCTTAGCGGTCACAGCGGACAACTCATTGCCCTGTCATCCAAGGGCAGGCCCTCCCTGGCTTTGTAGTTCTGTCTCTCATTTTCTTGCCTCATTGAGGATCAACATAGCAAAGAAATGATATGCAGATTTATTTATTTGGCTCTTGTTTTAAAAAAATAAAAATTACAAGCATGGTGGCTCACACCTGTAATCTCAGCACTTTGGGAGGCCAGGGTAGGCGGATCACGAGGTCAAGAGAGCAAGACCATCCTGGCTAACATGGTGAAACCTGGTCTCTACTAAATACAAAAATCAGCTGGCTGTGGTGGTGTGTGCCTGTAGTCCCATCCACTCAGGAGGCTGAGGCAGGAGAATCTCTTGAACCCAGGAAGCAGAGGTTGCAGTGAGCAGAGATTGTGCCACTGCACTCCATCCTTGGTGACAAAATGAGACTCTGTCTCAAATTAATTAATTAAAATAAAATAAAAATCTGATAGGAAGTGTGGGGGAGTTGGAGACCAAAGCCACTTGTGGGGATTATCTGTGGAGTGCGCCCCTCACTGCCACAAGCGGAGACACTTAGCAGTGGTTTGTATACCTTCCTGTTCTTGCTCCAATATGTATATTGTCAACAGGATGAAATAAATTTTTCTGCAAAAGAACTTTCATTTCTCTGCAAAAGAACTTTCCTTTCCAACCAGTGGGCCACATGCAGCCCAGCACAGCTTTGAATGACACCCAACACTAATTCGTAAATTTTCTTAAAACATTATGAAATTTTTTTGTTGTTGTTGCAATTTTTGATATTTAACTCATCAGCTATTATTAGTGTCAGTGTCTTTTATGTGTGGCCCAAGACAACATCTTCCAGTGTGGCCTGGGGAAACCAAAAGATGGGACAGCCATGTAAACCTAGACTGGTGATGCCCTCACCTTAGCAGACAGTACGTTTGCGTGAAAGGAGCTGGAACAAGGATCAGGTTGACCTGGTTTCAACTCTCAGCTCTTTCCTCTCTAGCTGTGTGATGTGGGACAAGTTACTTAACTTCTCTGAGGCTCATTTTTCTCAGGTGCACATAATGATAGTTGTCAGAGTTCAAAGGATTGCAGCAGAAAACGTTTACAAATGACTCACCCAGGACCCACTTGATGGCAGACGCTTAATATAAGTTAGGTCTCTTCTGAAGGGAAGTTTGAGTGGATGCCACATTTCCACTGGGCCAAGTTACCTGACCTCTCACCTCCGTGTCCTCCCTTGTAATTTTGGAATAATAGTGATCATTCTTCTAGCACTTCTCCTCAAGGATTGTTGGGGTGAGTGACCACATCACAAAAGAAGACCTAACTCAGCATCCAACAACTGCCTTCTCAGCTCTAGCTATTTTTATTTTCTCTATCCTTAAAAATTTTCTGGAAAGTCTGTGCTAAAGACACTGCCATTAGATGTGTTTGTGGGCAAAGGAGATCTTACTCAGATTCACTGCCTCGTTTTGTATTTATCTACGCCTTGCACTAACATATACTGAGTGCCGGCTATGTCAGATGCTGCTGGTCACCAGGCTGAGTGGGTAGCCAATGCTGGGTGATGGCCATGGGCCAGGAGTTAGGTTGAGTATAAACAAGCCCCAAGGCCAGGAACAGGGAGTCAGGATCAGCATAGAACAAGCCCTAAGGCCAGGAACAGGGAGTCAGGATCAGTATAGAACAAGCCCCAAGGCCAGGAACAGGGAGTCAGGATCAGTACAGAACAAGCCCCAAGGCCAGGAACAGGGAGTCAGGATCAGTATAGAACAAGCCCCAAGGCCAGGAACAGGGAGTCGGGATTAGTACAGAGCAAGCCCAAGCCCCTGTCGAGGATGACTCTTGATGAAGAGTGCTTTAGAACCAAGAATGCAAGGTTGAATTCCAGCTTTTTTGTTTCACAAATGAGATGAGAAAATGAAATGAATACGCTGACACCCTGCCCAAACCTTAGAGAAGGAATTAGGAGCAGGCCGGAAGCAGGATTTTCAGAGGGTAGGCCTTATCTCTGAGCTCCACTGTACCATCAGCTCAAGGAAGGCCCAGGGAGGGGCTTCACCTTTTCGACCCCACAGTGCCTAGTAAGGCCCTATACAGAGGCCAGAAATGCTGCCTTGAGGTGACGTCACAGACTCCAGACCCCCAAATGAGTATTTCTTTTTATATCAGCCCGACCTGAGTTACTCTTAGTACAGCACTGCCATAAAATAGCTATGTGTTATGTGTTGGCTGACTGACTGAGTTTCATCGGTAGTCCCCCCCCCCGCCACACACATACCCCTTAATTATTTATTTACATTCTTTAGATACTGTAGAGTCTTCATGTTTTTTCCTAATTAAAAATGCCTATTGAGAGCAGTGACTCATACCTGTAACCCCAGCATTTTGGGAGGCTGATGTGGGAGGTTTAATTGAGGCCAGGAGTTCAAGACCAGGCTGGGTAATATTACGAGACTTCATCTCTTAAAAAACAAAAGAAAAGAAAAATTAGCCAGGCATGGTGGCATGCACCTGTGGTTCCAACTACTTAGGAGGCTGAGGTGAGAGATTTGCTTATGCCCAGGAGGTCAAGACTGCAGTGAGCCCTGATTATGCCATTGCACCCCAGCCCAGGCAACAAAGCAAGACCCTGTCTTCCTTTAAAAAAGCCAACGAATAAAGTGGGTCATGTCTCTCTACTCAGTTTTTATACTCACTGAAAGTTCAGGCGTCATCAAATAGCAAACCCCAAAACTGTCTTCAGTCTGAGGCATGTAAATTGTCAGGCTGTGTCTTTTCTTTGTCTTTCTGCAGCTCCTGAAGTCCTCGCTCAGAAACCTTACAGCAAAGCCGTCGACTGCTGGTCCATTGGGGTGATTGCCTATATCTTGTAAGTACTGCCTGCTGCCTTGGCTTTCTCCTCTACTGGCCATTTTTTGATTGTTTGATGAAATATACATGAAACAAAATGTACCACTTTTAAGGGTGCAGTTGAAGGGTTCAGTTCAGGGCCAAGTTTGAGGCTTCAGTTCACTGGCATTGAGTCCATTCACAGCGTTTTACAACTACCATTGCTATTCACTTCTAGAACTTTTCTGTCACTCCACACTGAAACTGTATCCCTTAAATAAAAACTCATTTTTGGCCAGGCATGGTGGCTCACACCTGTAATCCCAGCACTTTGGGAGGCTGAGGAGGGCAGATCACGATGTCAAGAGTTTGAGACCAGCCTGTCTCTACTAATAATACAAAAATTAGCCAAGTGTGGTGGTGCATGTCTATAATCCCAGCTACTCGGAAGACTGAGGCAGGAGAATCACATGAACCAGGGAGGCAGAGGTTGCAGTGAACCACGATCACACCACTGCACTCCAGCCTGGACAACAGGAGCAAAACTCCATCTCAGAAACAGCAACAAAACCCTCCTTTTCCCTTCTCCCCTATCCCCTGAGAACCTCTGTACTACTTACTGTCTCTATGAACTTGACTCTTCTGGGGACCTCATATAAGTGGAATCACACAGTATCTGTTCTTTTATTTCAGGCTTATTTCACTTAGCAAAACCTTCAAGGCCCATCTGTGGTGTAGCATGGGTCAGAATTTCCTTCCGTTTTAAAGCTGAGCAATACTCCGTCGTGTGGATAGACCATGTTTGTTTATCTTCTTGGTCCATTGATAGACATATGGGTTGTTTCCACGTTTTGGTATCATGAAGAAGGCTTCTGTGAACACGGGTGTAGAAATATCCCTGCTTTGAGTCCCTGCTTTCACTTCTTTGGGGCTTGTGTCTAGAAGTGGACTTGCTGGGCCATGTGACAGTTCTACACTTAACTTCTGAGGAGCCACCGTACGGTTTTCCGCAGCAGCAGCACCTCCAGTTTACATCCCCAGCAGCAAACACGAGTATTCCAGTTTCTCCACATGTACACCAACACTTGTCATTTTTATTTTTTTTGACAATAGCCTCCCAATGGGTATGAAGTGGTGTCTCATTGGGCTTCAATTTGCATTTTTCTAATAGCTAATTAAGCCTCTTTTCATGCACCACTTTGGCTTTTTGGTGGATACAAACCCCTATTAGTACATCTCCCAAAGAAATCATAATGAAAAAAATGTAGTGAAAATCTAAATTTCACCTTTGGAGTTCTCATTTCTTCTCAGCTGCTTTATCTCCATAACCCAGGAAACACAATTCTAGGACATGGGCTTGTTACAGTTACTTCAGGATCGTCAGTTCTGTTTCTTGTTTGTTTTATTTGTTTTGCTTAAGTCTAATGTTATTTTTAAATTACGGTTTCTTTTTGAAGTTATACTTTCAAATGCTTATGATGGAACATACTTTTAGGGTAGGTTTAGGTCAACTTGTTCTGCAGTTGCTAGGCAATGAATTTCCCCATTTCATCATCCCCAAGGAGGGAACATTTCCTTGCAGAAAGAGCCCCCTGCACACCATGAAAGACTGCAGGGGCTGGTGATTGGAGAACATTCTGGCAGTGTGAGGCATCCTCCTCCTCTCCTCCAGGAATGCTGGAAACATCCCCCCTCCCCCGCATTGGCTTTGCTGCATTCTCTGAGAAGCAAATGGCCCTTCTCCAGCATTCAGCTGGGCCGTGTTTGTAGTTCAGTGTGGATTTAGGTGACAGCACCTGTACGTTCTTGCCATTATCACAGGAGAATTTCATCCATTGCAATATACTTGGCCTAAAGAACTCTTGTTTATGGAAATAGGTAAAGGGCAGATCCATCTGAGCTTTAAAACTAACATTGCACTTACAGAATACTTTCCCTTTCAAAGGACGTTGATCCCCTTTTGCAGTTTTATCCTTTTGAGGTGTGTTTCAAAAGATGTGTTGAGAATCTAATCAAAGTCATGGACCCTATCCCCTAATCAAATCACTTGTGCGCATGTGTGCACACACACAGACACACACAATTTTGCATACCATTTTCTCAGGGGATGTGGTCATTGTCCTGGGTAAGCAGACACTGGACATGAGCCCTGTATTATTCACCCTGGCTCTCTAAGTCTTCAACTAAACATCTTCCCAGAGGTCCTGCCTCACCCAGCTTGACTATGGAAGGCTTGAAGAAATAAATGCTAGGGCAGGCCTCTTCCTGCAAAGAACTGAAGCTGGTATCAGTCTGGAGAAACCTTCCCTGGGGCGGAGGAAAAGTAGCCCTCTTTCTGGCCTTCTGGTTATTTGTTCCTTTATGTCTATCTGAACCTTGAACCTTTACTCTGGCCTGCACTAATGTCTGTGGCCTCCCTTTGGGTTTGTTTGTACAGTTATTTCCCTGAACTCGTGGCCTTAGGGTAGGGTATTGGCACTGCTCTGAGTAGGTACATATTGACGGATGTTTCTTAGAATGACGGAGAAAAGCAATTTAAAGCTAAGCAATGGTGTCTTAGTCAGATCAGGCTGCAACAACAAAATGCCATGTGGTGTAAACAACAGGTATTTATTTCTCATGATCTGGAGGCTGGAAGTCCAAGATCAAGGTGTCGGCCAATTCATTTCCTGGCAAGGGCTCTTTTCCTGACTTGGAGACGGCCACCTTCTTGCTGCATCCTCACGTGCTGTAGAGAAAGTACAGAAGAGCAAGCTCTCTGGTATCTTATCTAAATCAGTCACTGGCAGAGGAAACAGGATCATCACGCTTGGCCAAGCTGACAGTGGGGAGAAGCCCTGAGTGGTAGCACAGTTCTTCTAGTGAAGGAGGCAGGAAATGGGTTGGTAGTAGGCAGCTAACCACATCTGCCATAGACCATAGGTAGGGAGGCGTTGGAAAGAGGGCCAGCGTGTCTAGAGGTGGTATCAAGACAGGACACCGAAGGTGACACAGAAGAAGCTACCTAGTGCGAGAACAAAGAGAGACTGGGTAGAGTGTTTGGATTTTAACCCAAGGTCAGTGGGAAGGGTTTTGAAAAGTGGTGTGATCTGACCTTACTTACATTCGAGAATTATTCCAGCCGTGCTGAAGAAAGTATTGGAAGGCACATGTGGAAGGTGGAGACCGAGTGGGAAGCTCTGGCGAGAGGTGCTTCTCCTGTTAAGGCACTGGCTCTGGGGAGAGGTGGAGTGATCTCGGATCTGTTGTGGATGTGGAGGATGAAGGAGGGGGAGGCTTCAAGTCTCAATCCAAGATTTTGACTTTATACTGTGTTGATGGTTAAGAAAAAAGAGGAATGGTAGAGGAGCAGATTTAGGAGGGCGGGTGAGATCAGTAATTTGGTTTTGGACACGTTACGCTTGAGACCTTTGGGAGATACCCACAGAGTGGTGTATGCATGTATGGAATTCAGGATAGAGATACAGGCGCGTGCTTCTGAGTGTGATTTGACGGGCGGGGCACCCAAACCCTTATGATTTCCATATACACTGAAATATTTGCCATGGTTCAAGTATAGTATTAAGCAAAGACATGCCATATTTCTTTGAGTATAAATTTGGTCAGTTTCCACTTGATGGTTTCCCGGTCACACTAGCTTTGCCCCAGACTAGTCCCAGATCGATTTCATGACTGTGTCAGACTTCAAGATGGCAGCCTGGGCTTCTGTGTTCCTTGGTGCCTTCCGGAGTTCTGTGAGTCCCAAGCAGAGAACGAATGGACTCTTGGCATCTCAGTTGTATTCTGTAAGATGTTCAGACTCATATGGGTGATAGGTCAAATCCTGGCTATGTTTTAGTACATAACAGGGCTGCACTTGGAGAAGCACCAGCTTCGAATTTGTTATCAGTAGATTAACCTCCTTACCAGTTCACCTTTTCTCACCATACAGATGGTTGGTAGTCTGATGAGAGACATCGAGTCTCTGTCATCTTTATGTTTCACACCTAGCATGGTGCCTGGAATGGAGAAGGTCATCAAGAAATGCTGGTTGTTGACACTGAGAATGACAAGTTTGAGGCTGGAGGTCTGCTCTACGGGGAGGGCCGTGCACAGCTGCAGGGGGTCACAGAATGCAGTGGTCACTGAGGACAGGGATAAGCACCATCATGGTGGGTCTAGAGCGTTAGATAAGCAGAGAGATGAGAGCATCTGACAGGAGAGGGGAGGGAGCCAAAGACGGGCAGGGTGCCGCAGCCATTTGAGGCTCGCAAAGCTATCCTGTGACCGTTTTATAGCGGGGATTGGGGTCGATGTCAGAGGTTGGCCCTGGACTGAAGCAGCGTTAGATGCTGGAACTCATGTGTCTCCGTCTCGGACTCTTTCTCCTTCCCGCGGGTCCACTGTGCCTGGTCTCCCATTCCTAACTAAAGATTTATACGCAAGGCTACCGAGCAGGCCTTGACCAGCAGGCAGCATGCCAGGGAGGCCGCCTCCCCACAGGGAAGGCACGGAGCTCCTCATGCTTCCCAGCCACCGTAATGGAAAAGAGCTCAGCCCCTGCAGTGCTTTGGAGCGCAGCATTCTAGTTTTTGTTTGATAGACCTGTCACACTGAGCTGTCAGACCTCAGCCACAGTGGCCGTGACAGGCTATGGCACCAAGTTTTCTCCTCTTGCACGCATGCCATGTAAACATTCCTCCTTTAGCTGATGTGAGCACTTGATAAGTTGGCCCTCTTTCGATGTCCACTTATCTGATATCCATCATTTGGAGGGAGAAATATTTTTTCCTACCAAGGACACTCATTTTAAAAACCCATGTGATGGGTTCTTATCCTGCCAGGAATCTTCCCTTGGGGATCCGGACTTGCAGAAAACATCTTTGCCTGAAAAGCTTACGCTGCCGGGAAGGCCAAGGACAGCGTGGGTTGGGCTTTGTGATAAGCGTGTTGGTGTCTGGTGTGACGGACTTGGCTCAGCCAAGACAGCGCAAGGTCCAAGGCACAAATGTCCTCAGTCAAGATGAACCTCAGCCTCTCACAGATCGATCTTGACTTTGT